AGCTGAAGAGAGGGAGGAATGAAGAGCAAAGGGGTCTGTACCAGGTTGGAAAAACCCACAGGAACAGTTGACCTGAACAAGGGAGAGACATCGACCCCAGATGCTGTCGGGAAGGCCATTACAAGACTGTGAAACAAGCTTGTTCCCTAACTAGAACTAATAACTAAATTAAAAAAAACATTCTAAATAAATCAGAAATGTACTCCACGCATAAGATTGGATAGAGAAAGTACAAGCAAGAGCAAGGTGAGGAGGGAGGAAGACATGGCAGGCCTCTTTGAATTCTCATCAGAAAAAAAAAAAAATCGCTTTTGAAGTGGGAAATGACCCTGAACAGTGGCAGGGGCAGTTTCTCTTCTCCCCGGAAGCAGGAAGCAGGGCAGCTGTTTTCCACTCCTCACATATGCACAGCCTGCGTTCTTGGTATCCACGGAGTATCTGGGCGTGCCACAACCAGGTGCATGTGGCTCCGCTCGCTGGAAGGGTCCCACAGAACACCTGCCTCACGAACTTCTCGGCACTGGTGGGCACAGTACTTGCTCTCTAGGGCCTAGAGTCTAGGTACAGTTCTACTTGGCACAGCTGCCACATGGAAACTGATTTTTGTCTTTGATTATTAAAAGTGTTATAAATGATCACCCTTTGATGGCCTCCCTGAAGATCAGGCCGCGTTAACTATAGCTATTCTAATATTCTTCTAGAAGAAGAATAATTCTATAACAGCATAAAAATAAGAAAACAATGGGAGAAACGGGCAGGTGACAGTATATGGGATAGAGTTGTATTTATGTCAAACAAGTCCTAGCTATCTACCCTATAGTCAAAGTGTCGCTTTACTGTTAAACATTTTTACCTCTCACACTAATAAAAACAATAAACCTAAGGACAAAACCAATAATAGTGCTGAGAGGAAACTTTTAAGAAATGACGGACATTTCATGGCCAGGATGGTGGTAATGGTTTTGTGGACAGATACCGTTCCTCACTCATTAGTTGTACAAATTAAACATGTACCACTCCTAACATGTCAGTCACACTTGAGTGAAGCCGTTGAAAGATAAAAGGGGGATCTTGCTATGTATTACACGAATAGCTATCACAAAGCTAGACTGTCAAAGGATGCTCTCTTATGAAAACAAAGCAAGAAGCAATTGACCTGAGTGGGAGACAGTAAAACATCCTAAAATGGTGAAAATTCTAGTGTGTGTTAACTGAGTCACAATATAGACATCAATAAGGCAGGCGCCTATTGAAACAAAAGAAGAAACAAGAGTTGGAAATTATTGTCACTTTTCATAAATAAAATAAAATCAAGATAGATTTAAAATTGCAATGTAAAGATAAAGCATGTTAAAATAAATCCAGTTAAAGAATCATTTGAGTTCTCACTGGAGAGCTTTTTCTAAGCCGAAAACTGTAAGAAATTACAAAGAAAAAAATCGAGAGCATTTTTAAAAGAACTAGAGGCATCCATAAACCAAGTCATGCTGTTCAAAAAACTAAAGGGAGCAGGGTTTGCCAAGCTGAAAGATTCAAAGTTTATATATATTGACATGTCAGAGTAACACGCCGGAAGGGGAGGGGCAAAGGGAGTGAAGGGACAAAATATAATTGCCTTCTACAGTATTTGTGGGTAAAGTCTGTCACTAAATTTGAAAAAATTAAAGACAAATGAAATTATATTTTGCTTTCTTATAAACTGGCAGAATTAAAATGTGGCAATAGTTAATCTTAGCTATAGCCACGCTCACAGGGGTTGCATTTGCTAGGTGTACAATTAATCTGGCATACCTTTTTGAAAAGCAATTTTGCAATAAGCATGATGTAGTTCCATGGACCTTTTTGGTGAACCCACTTTAGACACGTATTATAGGGAAATAATAGGGTAACTGTACACAAAGAAAAGTGAAAGGAAATTTTAATAGTAAATTTTAAATTACAGTAAAAATGGAAAACAACTTAAATGTCAAACAGGAGTTAGATGAATAGCATTCTGTCTATTTAAATAACTATGCAGATGTTTTTGAAGAATTCTGACAATGGAAATTGTTCACAATATAATTTACATTGACAATTTGACAGTATAATCAGTACATCTCAAAGTATGATCTAAACTAAAATATTCAAAAGGAGTGAAGCATATTGAAATGTTAATGATGCATACAAATAGATTACTTTCATTTTTTAATTTTTTTACTTATTTTTCCAAATTTAATGCAATAACTGCATAACACTAGGTGGGCATGGTAGCTCACATCCAGTATGCTGGTGGCAAAAGCCAGAGGACTGATCTGAGTTCTAGTCCAGCTTGGGATACAAAGACAGACCACGTCTCAAAGGACAAACAAAAACATGTAACACTTTATGAGTGAAAATATGTCCCCATATTTTTCATTGACCACATTAACATGGTGAAATTATTTCTTGATCTAGGGGCTGGTTTTCTGAGCCTTGGTACATGCTTACTCGGTGCCTGGATGCTGTGTGTCAGTGATGGCTTCTCTCTCTTTCGGACTCACCTGGTGATGTGGGTTATCATTTGCTTGTGGAGCAGGTGACAGTCTTTGACACAGGTGTCTGGGGCATTCTGTGGCTGCTGTTCGCCCTGCTCCTGTTGGCCTCATATACGCTGGGGGTTTAGGGCCTTTATACTCAATGCAAAGCCTGTTAGAAAGTAGAGTTTTATAAGATGTTGGGGCAAGTTTTAATGATTAAGTATGGTATCAAGGAAAACGTTTTTTAAAATTTGTTTTTAAAAGATTTGTTTTTCTTTGTGCATATGTGAGTGCACGTGCGTGAACATGTACCACATATATGCCATTTGTATGTGCCCATAGAGCCCAGAAGAGGGCCTTAGATGACCTGAAGCTCAAGTTACAGGCAGTTGGGAAGCATCCAACAAGGGTACTGGGAACCAAACTTGGGTCTTCTGCAAAAGCCGAAAAAGCACTCCTAACTACTGAGCCTTCTTTCCAACTGTACCTCCTTTTTGATTGAAAATGTCAAAGCAGATGTCAAGGTCAGTGTCTCCACATCAAATAGTAACAATGTTGTCACACTTCTCCCCTGTGCTCTTTCCCAGACAGACTGTACAATTAGTAGAGAGCTAGAAAGCCAAAACATAAAGTCCATGCTTCCTTCCCCATGCCAGTCTAGATCTAAAAATACAAAGAAATTCAGTGATAATGACTCCCAGGTCATCCTGTCCAGATGAGAGACCGGGAATTCTGAGCATGGGTGTGTGTTTGTTACGCCATCTCTGAAAGAGCAGAGATGACTCAAAGGGCAGGCATACTTGATTTTACAGAATTCCATTTAGTGTTCTCCAAAATTATTTTGGAAGCATTTTGCCATCTTGAGTTGTTATAGTTGAGTAAAAGAAGAAAACATCAAAAGACCAGAGAAGTACGTCCTCACAGAGTTCACACTTAACAGGCAGATTAATTCCAGTTGCTTTCAATAGATGGTGATAATGACTCTAAGATAGGATGAGAAAATATGGAAACAAGTGATTGTTCTGTGATTAGCCAATTTTGCCAAAGAGGTGGGTTGTAGGGAAGGAGCAAACAGCATGGTTTCTGAGTGATGCACTCTATTCTTTTGCCATCTGAAATAATTTTAACACTTTGGGATTATTTTGTTGTTTTACCTCAGACTGCTATATACCATACACTAAGTGTATTAAATAACAGACGTTCATATTACACGTTTCTTACATGTCTAGAGGTTGGAACTCTGAGATCAGTTGCAGGTAGGAGTTACTTCCTCACCACCTTGAAGTCTTTGTTCATAAAGTTCATCTCACACACATGGTCTCATGAAGAGACCTCACAACTTTCCAGGAGCCCTGCAAGTACTTCAGCACTACACTAGGGGGCTTTTTGCAACAGTGAGACCACTTAAAAGGCACAAAAGAGCGAAAAATCTGGTTCTGAATAGACTGTGTGAAAGACATTTTGTTTACAGCTTGAAAGCTGAAATAAGGGGGCAAAACCGACCTCCAGTGTCACCTCAGCTTGCAAATGCACGTGTGGGCAACCTTTATGTTTGCCGCTCTGTACGTGTCTGTAGGTGCTTCAGTGGCACCTTGAATGTTGATTTTGGATGACGTGTAAGGTTTTGCAAGTAGGCGAATGTGTAAACAACGAATCTGTGAATTATTAGGAATGGGTGTATTAGCCTTGCTGCATAGACATTCCTTTGTTGGTGTCATCCCATTCAGCTATCTGGCATGTTTCTCTTTTGTTTAGGTCTTTTGTGTGTGTGTGTGTGCTTAATGAGATAGCATAATTTTATTATACAGGTTCTCATATTTTGTTAAACTTGCGGGTAGTTTCTGTGTAAAATAAGATACATTAAAATGAGAGTTTTATAGAATTTCTGTTTGGTTATTGCTAGGAGAGTGAAGAGCTATCAATTTTATGCTAATTTATCTTATGTTCCACCATTACTCAAAGTCTTAACTGTAGTGTTCTCCGTTAAGTTCCTCAGGGTGTCTTTGGAGAGTGTATCATCTGCAGATGCAGATGATCTCATCTTCTCTTTTTCAGTGTTTTAATTTTATTTTCTATAAAATTTGCAAGGACTTCCCCAATTTTTTTTAATAACGGTGGTGATGTCTGACACCTCACTTCCAATTATGTCCTTATAAATAAAAGTGTTATTCTTACTAATGAGAACAGTCATGTGTAAAGTAAATCTACAGCAAAAGGAAGGGGCTTCTTACCATGCAGATTGCTTGCTGAATTATTAAATAAACCCATTATTGCCACTTGGCAATAACTATTACCTGAGATGATGGGCATTCCTAATTTGCCAACTTAATAGATAGCAAGATGACTCTTTGCCTATGATCACATTTGTGAAATTATAACATTCACATTCATTTCTTTCGGGTTGGTCAACACTCAGGGTTTCTGAACTCATCAATACCCAGACCAAATTGAAAATTACATAATGCTATCTTGGGGATTAACCATATTTATTATACCTGGAGTAGACTGGATGTAATACAAAGAATTTAAATGAACTCTAGTGATGCACAGTCCTTGCAATTCTCTATTCTCTAATCCCCACAAATATTGTGCTGAGCATAGGAAGGACAGGCTATCGCTGTGATGAAGTGAGGAAAGAAAGTCATGAAGAGGTAAAAGTCACACATGTGACCTGTGCTGCTGGCTGAGGGCAAGGCCTCTCTGCCTCTGCTTCCGTTCCTATGACTTCACCACCTGTTTGCTTTTTCTTGCACCTCCATGCCTAACACGCTCACAATTGCTTATGAATTACAACGTTCTCAAGAAGGATGAGAGTAGACTATTAAAAATGCTGGTTTGTGGGATTGGAGAAAGGCTCAGTACGCCAAGTGCTTTCCTTGTAAACATGAGCATCTTTGTCTGGATTCCAGAGCCCTCATCTAAATAGCTCACCATGGTGACATGCACTTGTAATCCCAGCACTGGGAAAGAGACTGATCTGGGGCTCCTTGGCCAGCCAGTGCTTTACTTGGAAAATTTCAGGCCAGTGACAGATGCTGTTTCAAAAGGGGGAGGGGGAGGGACTGGAGACATGGGTCAATGGTTAAGAGTAGGGTTCCTTAAGCAACGAGAGCAGAAGACCAGGGTTCAATTCTCAGCACCCATCTGGCAGATCACAAACATCACTAATTCCAGTTTCAGGGGACCCAAATGTCCTCCTCTAGACTGCATGGACACTAGGCATGAATGTAGTGCACAGACATATATGTAAACAAAACACCCATATACATACAAATAAGTAAATACAATTTTTTAGCAAGAAAAATGGTAGGCAGTGTCTGGAGAGTATCATTTTGAGCTTTTCTTATGCCCTCTACATTGACATATGTGCACGCACCCCAAAATACACGAGCATCATCACACAGATGAACATGCACACACACACACATATGAGTATGTATGTATATACATAAAATTATAGTTTACATCAGGTGGTAATACACCTGTCAATTTCAGCTTTCAATAGGTACAAGAAAGTAACTAGTTAGTTAAGAGGCTAGCCTGGGCTGCACAGTGAGTTCAAGGCCAGCATGGGATACCTATCAAGACAGGGTCTCAAAAAAGCAAAACAAGACAACAAAACAGAACAAAATGTAATGCATACTTGGAGGACAATGACAGGGGACAGCTTTGACATTTAGTGCAGGTGAATATAAGAATGAGAAATTTCATGTACAGCCAAGTCTAGTTTTCACCCACAGTGAAATGGGAATAGTGTTATTCAGACGGAATCCTCTAAGCTTCCTGTTGCCTTTAGTGGCAAGAGCAACTAACTCGATGGCCACTACATGGCGCTGTTGCCTTTTAGTTCCCCATAAACCTAAAGGCTGTTTACAGAGGTGAAACACACTTGAATCTCTACCCTCTTCCCAGCCCGTGCAGGGCCTCGTGAATGCTCCAAGCACTGAGAATAAGCAGCTCTTGAGTTCTCAGCCCTAAATGGGTCCTCTGTATCTCCGTCTCCATGGCTCCGGGGAAGCAGAATGGAAGGAAAAGCAAGAGAAAGGGATGGAGCATATGGAGCACTGTCTTCTGGGATTGATATCCTGCTCCTTTTCACTCTCATCCCCAGTGATTACCTGCACAGGACCTGCTCAAGATTGGCCCCACCAGCACCTCATCACTGGGGGAAAAGGGGCCCTTGAGACTCCATGCCTCCCTGAAGATACATTCACTTAAAAGTTTCTGGGGGGCAGGCTGTGAAGAGAAAGAAAGAAGAAAAGAAAGGCAGACATAAAAGGAGGAAGACATGAAGGGGTCATCAGGAGTGGGAGGGAACAAGGGAAGGTGAATATGGCCAAATTATATAAATGTATGAGGATGCTATCAAAATCTGTTATTCTGTATGATTAATAAATATATGCTAATAAAAAACTTAGGAGAAAGAAAACATGCAGCTACAATCTGTGCTGGCTTCAGACCCAGCATCTAGGCCACACACCTGGCCTGTGCATGGCTAGCTGTGTCCCTTGGAGCCAGCTGGTCCAGCAGCCACTGTCTTCCCATGGCTCCTGTCCTGCCGCCTTTCTGGGGCAGGCTGTATCTGAGGTTCCTGAAGAGGAGCTTTGTGTTCTCCTTTGCTGACATCTGTGGAAAAATACACCATTAAAAGAGGCACCAAGGGGAAGAAAAGATGGCTCAGTGGGGACGGGCATTCGCTTCTGAGACTGAGCAAGTTTGACACTCAGGACCCATTTGGTGGAAAGGGAGAACCGATGCTCACAAATTGTCCTCTGGCTTCCACAGGTTGGTCATATGCACACTTGCATGCCAGCACACAAATGAAAAATGTCACAAAATCAAGTCCATAAAAAAACTTAGAGACATCAGATCAATTTAAACATGGCCTTCATTACTTAGTGTTGGCCCATGATGAAAGTGTTGCTATTTCCTCTGTTTTTGATGCATGGGAAAATAAGCTCCCTTGCACCTAGAGTTTCTTCATACCATTTATGTATAAACGCAAACATAGCACAAGTCTCAAGGTTGAATGCCCCCAACTGCTTCTTAAAGAGACTGGAATCCTAAAGCTGTAGGAAGGAACCACAGCACACTGAGTTTATGGTTGCTCACATTTGTGGATGTGGCTTTCTTTAAGAACAAGGTGATGCATTATGGATTCATTTCCAGGAACATCCCTCCCAGGTTTACTACTGTATACAGTTTCAGTAAGCAGCGAGTCACCTGAAACCCATCCATCTGACCCACCCAAGGAACTTCAGAGGAAAGAAACAAAGATGTTCAATTAGAAGGTGTCCAGCTCTTGGAAATTAAAGTGTATTAACAGGATGACCACACGGTGTCACTGTAACACCACCAAGTCGCAAGCTTCGGGGCCGGAGAGGTAGACCAGAGGCAATGAATCAGCACTCAGTTACTGCAGCAAGGTATTTGGCAAAATTCAGATGCCTGCCTTTCCTGGAGGGACCTTGATTTTGAAGAGAGAACTGGAAGACTGCCCTTGATGGAAACAATTCACCTGCAGCCTTCACTACAGTGGTATTTGAGGCGCTCCACTGTATAGATTCGTCTGAAATCGGTAATAAAAAAGACAATTTTCCACTCTCGGTCACCCTAACTCCCACCCACCCATAGGTATAGCTTTTGCTTTCTATTTTCTTTCTTCTTAGAACTAAATTAAATTGTTGGTTACTAATACATTTCTTTAAAAGAATCACAAGTTACAAAGTTTTACTTTTTCACTGAAAACCTAAATAATTTTTTTTTTCTTTTTATCCCAACATAGGGGTGGTACTTACGATTCAGGGAAAGTTATAGTAAAACCCTTCCAAAAGTATACTACAATTAGAAGCTTTTTTTGCATCATTTTTGCCAAATCAACACCGAGTTCGTTCTCATCCATCCCAGGTTTCAATACCTTCCCCTCTAACTTTGGCAGGTGTTTCCTAGTGCATAGTATGAGATCAATGATCCGACTGTAGCCTATTAAGCCCTTTCTTGTTTCCAAAAGCATTTATAAAAACCTTCCATGTAAACAAAGCCCATTTATTTTTAAACTCTTGGCATGTGTCAATCATGAAAAACAATAAAAGTCATTATGACATTTTCCTACAGTATATGCTACTCTTCCATCATAGGAGAGCTCAGTCATACAGAGAAACATTGAAGGTTGAGCCCGCCTTTTCCAGTCCTAACTGTTAACCGGTAGAAGGAAAGGGTTTTCAATGCTATGTCTTCTAAGGACTGGGGTAGTGAAGATTTTGTCACGCTGCCTTAGATGTTACCTGGACACAGTCCTCCATCACAGTGTGTGACTTCTGGTGGGATTTGCTGTGGAGGCCAGATAAGAAACACAGCTGGCAGATGTCAAAATTGAGACACTTCAGACAGCGGTATCTGCGAAAAGGGATGGAAGTACAGCTTTCGTCACTACCGGTAGGAGAGCAAACAGAAGAAATTCAAGTGATGAGCATCCTCAGAGATACAGGAGGTGTCTGGACTTATGGTGGTTGTAACTTATCTCTCAAAGCTGACAGCTATTACATAACCCATGTGGTTACTTATTCTTATTCAAAGAAACCCGAACCTTATCTTAATAGTACTTTGTGTGTGTGTGTGGGGGGGGGCATGGCAAATGTGTGGAGGTCAAATGAGAACTTTTGGAAATTGATTCTCTCCTTCCACACCATTTCTGGAGAATAAACTCAAGTGGTCATGCTTAGAGCCTTAAGTCATGGAGACCTTAAGTAGTAGAGCCATCTTACCGGCCCTTGGTGGAGCTTTGATAAGACATTATATTAATGTGTCTTTACCCAATAAACTATGTTCTAGAGATCTGACTTGCAGCCCTTCCACCAAACTACCCAAATACCAAGCACCTTGCATAGGCAGCATCTTAGGGACTGCAACCGCAACTATCAAGAAAAACCTTCAACTCTGCAGCCATATCTTGCATAGTTGCATGAAGCACTCGAATATTTAGAGTCTACCTTCCAATTTTAAAGAAGAAGGTTGGCATTTTTGATAGAGTTGAATTAGGGATTCTCCTAGAAAATTATAAGGTGTGATAATCTTGAACCTGAATTCCCAGTGCTGGGAAAAAATTAAATCATAAATAATGGATTTCAAAACAATGCCTAGGATTTTTCTTAGAAGACTGTGCATAGGGAAGAAAAGATTGAGGGGGGAGGTTTCTCAGCAGCCAGGATCTTCGTGAGCAGTTCACCTTTTAACATGGCAGAAATTTCTTCTTAATTTCTGGATCTTAAAGCTCCTTGTGTTCAGAAGAAAACACTGAGGCATGCTGTTAAGGAGAGATCTCTCCTGACACCCAGGGAATACTGTGATGCTGAAGGGCCAGCAAGATGGGACAGCTCCTGGTTAATAATGTCATTATTCCTAGCTGTATTAGTGACAGCCATTGTACTGGAAAGGTAAGCTCTTGCTGTTTGGCCCATAGTAGGTAGTCAGTGAACGTGAACTGAATGAAGCTAAATGAACAGCATGGTTTTTGCAGAACACCGCCTTCGGTCCAGACCAGGCTGGTGAAACCTACAGAAACAGCTGACCTGAACAAGGAGGAGTTCCCCAGACTGATAGCTGGCAAACCAGCATGGGACTGATCCAGACCCCATGAACGTGGGTGTCAGTGAGGAAACCATGGAAATCTATGGGGCCTTTTTATAGTATATCAGTACCTATCCCTAGCATAGGAATGGACTTTGGGAGCCCATTTCACATAGAGGGATACTCCCTCAGCCTAGACACACGGGGGAGGGCCTAGGCCCTATCCCAAAGGATATGATAGATTCTGAGGACCGCCCCACCATGGAAGACCTCACTCTCCCTGGAGAGCAGAAAGGGTATATGATAGGTAGGGTTTTAGTTGGGGGGGAGGTGACAGGGGAGGAGGGGAGGGAGAGGGAACTGGGATTGATATGTAAAACAATCTTGTTTCTAATTCAAGTAAAAAATGGAAAAACTAATGTGTAAATGTGAAAGTATACAAAGAGGGGAAAAAAAAACACTGCCTTCTTGGCCTTGCAAAATGTTTGCATAAATTTTGAAAATTAATCAGTGCATCTATGTGGGAAGGCACCCACCTTTTCAATACAGTGTACAAGATGGAAAAGCCTTGTCTTCAATGAGGATTACTGGATGAGCTACCCATGCTGGCAGCTTTGTCCAGCCTTCCAAACAGCTCCAGTTGACTTGTCTGAACAATATGCTAACTACCCTTAAATGTATTCCTCTGTGTTCTGAGGCCACCTTTAGAGTCACAAGAAAGGCTGCTGAGTGGACAATACAACTGGTTTGTTAATGATTTTACCAACTAGAGAACACAAGACTTTTTCCCAATCTCATCTCAGTCTTATATGATTTATTTCTTCTATAGAACATAAATGATAACCCTCCTATGACTTAATTCTTGGAGTAGGGACAATTTCTGCTCTTTATGCCTTCCCTCCCCATGTACACACATGTTTACTGTGTACATGGAGGCCAGAGGCTGATGTTGGATGTCTTTCTCAGTAGCTCTTCCATCTTTTTGAGAAGAGGTCTCTCACTGAGTCCGGCTCTGACTCTTTCCTCTAGACTGTCTGGCCACCAGGACCCAAGAATCCTCCTGAATCTGTGTCTAGTCCTGTTTCTTCCATTGATTCTGAGGAATAGAACTCAGGTCCTCACACTTGCACTGTAAACATTTACAAACTGAGCCATCTCCCAGCCCCCTTTCTTCCCATAGGAGGTTGAGCCGTGCACTCTACCTGTGTCTTCTGAGCTCTGTGGCTGCTTCTGCTCTCGGGCTATTCTATCAATCTCCCTGGAACTGAAGTAGTTGATTGAGCTTGGAGAGCCAAACCCACAAGTTTAAGGCTGAGGCTGTAATATATCCACACAAGTTTTAAGAGACATCACTAAAGGAAGCCTCAGACATCCCCAGAGCATACTCCCTTAGCTTGCTTTGCCTTAGTTGTCTGGGAGGAAAGATAGTCCACCTAACCATCTTTATAAAAAGTTTAACTCCATTTTTAACAGACAACAGCATATTGCACAGAAGTCTGATTCGTTCTGTGCTATACACTGCTGTTTCTTGGGCAGCCTGAGCAAGTCACTTAAAATCTTTGACACTCAATGCTATCAAATAATGATTTTGAGGAAATAAAAAACTTATTTCAATGTAAAAGTTGTACTTTGTGTACTTTCAAAGTCATTCTGTTTCTGGCTTAGACATAGAGGTTATATGAGGAATACCTGTCTGTGATTTATTGGTTAAATTATTATTATATTGTGATAAATTATATTCACGTTCCTTCACTGTACATCATAAGATTGTTTTTTTACTATAATATGAAGATTTCCTTGGCCCTGTTTGCTTGTTTTCCATTGACATGGTTTATTGTTTCAAGTTGTTACTTGCAAATAGGATTTTATGACTCAAATTTTGCTGCACTTTCCAAATTTCCTGGAAACTCAATTCAGTTTCTCAACAAAATTTAATCTTGATTTCCAGATTTTTAGCAGGTCCAGTAGACCTGTTTTATGCCTGTGGAAAATGTATTTAATGTCTAAACTAGTAAGGATCAGGCACTACAGGAAGAGAAGTGGGACACAGTGTGAAGCCCTAAGGGCTCCAGCCTCCTCCCCTTCTAGGTCCCCTGTGCATTATTGCTAGCTCCTGAATGTCTTAGAGTTTCACCTCTTACACAGTTGCATACCTGTATCTGTAAGTCATAAGTCATGGCTTGCCCATGCTTGGTTAGACTTTTCATATCCTTCTCTTCAAAATTCTTAACAGTATCTCTGATTTTACTTTCTTATTTAATGTATGGGAAACCTATATCCCAATCAATCTTTATTCTTCCTTTTTTCCTTCCTTCCTTTCTTCCTTCCTTCCTTCCTTCCTTCCTTCCTTCCTTCCTTCCTTCCTTTTTTGTCTTTCAAGACAGGATGTCTCCTTGTAGCCTTGGCTGTCCTAGAACTTGCTCTGTAGACCAGGCTGGCCTCGAACTCACAGAGAACCATCTGCCTCTGTCTCCCAAGTGCAGGGATCAAAGGCTGCACCACCACTGTCTGGTGGCTTAACAAACTATTCTTGTGGGTAGCTCCAAATTGTTTAAAATGTTTATTTGGAACAAAAGATAACTGTTTTATACCATAGAGCAGGGTTTTCAACCTTCCCAATGCTGCAGCCCTTTAATACAGTTCCTCTTGCTGTGGTGACCTCCAACCATAAAATTATTATGATGCTACTTCATAACTGTAATTTCGCTACTTCTGTGAATTGTAATGTAAATTTCTGATATGCAAGATATCTACTACGTGGCCCTTGTAAGAAGGGTTGTTTGACCCCCCAAGGGGGTTACGACTGCTTTAGATGTACAAAAACATGGGCTACTTCAGTGTGTGAGTCAGTGGAAGAACTTAATATTTCATTGATTACAGGAAATAAATTTATTTTCAACCAGGGTATCTCAGACAGTGAATTATTGAGCTAACGGCTAGTGAGTTCCAGATGAATAGAAAGGATCCCAGAGAATGTCTGGAGTTATCAGTGTAGCCCCACCATTGAGCCCATCTGCCAAATGACCAATTGGGGAATATGAAGTTGACTGTACCTCAGTCCTATGATTGGGAAGGTTCTGCAAATGCTGCACCGCACAGGGTGAGTGAGCATTTCTGAGGCAGACAGTCGGTAGCAGGTTGGGAGCCATAGAAGGATCAGAGGCTCAGACTGTACCCAAGACAAGAATTTCTCCTCCTTGATTCCAGAGCTCAACACCTAGGAAAGAAGAGCAGGCTGAGACACACTTTCAGGCAGGATTTGCCTCCTTTCTTTCCCTCTGGTCCTGCCTGTTCTGCTACGACAATCAATAGTGTAAAAGCTGGAGGCAAGGCTACTCCAAACTCAGCTGTCCTGGAACCTGCATGAAGTCTAATTTAAGCAAACTCTTCAAACATCTGCACCAGTTCCCACGGACATTTTTATGCTACTCACCCCTCGGAAGCAGCTGTGGATAGCACTTTCCACAGGACACAAAGTGTAGCTCTCTCCCACGACAGTCGGGATCTGCAAAGGCAACCTCATGTTAGCTGTTGAATGAACTTAGTGTGCTTGAGTAATGGAGGCCATGCACATTAGTGCTCAGGCATCTGTCCTGGCCTGTCGTTGGGGTTCTGGCAGGATTCACCCTTACCTGCAGCCACTAAGAGCACCACCTGTGCATATTCACTATGTTCCCTTTAAAAGGGCCCTGCCTACTTCCCATCCCTCTTTCTTTCTCTCATTCTCTCTGTTCTGCTCTCTTTCTCCCTCTCCCTCTCCTCTTCTTTCCTCTCTCCCCTGCTCTCTCCTCTCTCCTGCTGCTCCTTTTCTGGAGGCTGGTCTCTCCACTCACCTTTTCCCTTTTTTATGATCCCTTTCCCTAATAAAAAAACACTCTGCTTGAACTGTGTTGCATGGCATCTTTGTCTTGTGTTTGATGCTTTTCTTAAATTAAAACAATGCAAGCAACAGGTATCGGACATCTGAGAACAGAAGAACCATTTCAATCAAAACAGAAAGCTTCAGGTTTTATGTAATGCTTGAGTTGGAACAAAAGAATAAAAAGGCTGGAGGAAGACCACAGAAGGAAGCCAGGGAGGCAGCAAAGGAAAGATGTCTGCTGTCTGACTTCTTAGGATCCCAGGCAGATTATTTTAATCTTTCTTTTCTCTGTTCCCTGATGGAGGTCACAGTGACACTGCTTTTAAGTTCACAGTGGCTTTAAGAAATATCTTGTCAAGTATTTTCACTTTGTCTCATTTGAATACATGCCAATGCCATTACTTGTTTTGCCTCTAAGTCAAAATATCTGACATAGAAAATGTCAAAGAGGAGAGACTGGGGTTGGCTTGTGGTTTCAGTACATGGCTTCTGGGCTGCAGTGAGGTAGAGCATCAAGACAGAAGGCTGTGTCAGGGTAGACCTCATGGTGACCAAGGAGCATGGGAATGAGAGGCCCATGGGAACAGATCTCTGTTGACCTAGTTCTTTTAACTAGCCCCTAAATATGAAAGTTTCCATCAAAAAATCCATCCAAAATCTATGTAAGCCATCAGTTATATCAGAGTCCTCATGATCCAGTCACTTTTCAGTGATTGGATCTACCAGTTGGGTACCAAACTTTCAATTCAAGAGTTTTTGGGGTGACATTTCATATGCAAACCATAATTCCAGTCTTTGAATGGGGTGGTATCATCATTATTGAAAAGAGGGACTGACAAGAAGGAAAGTTACTATGTCAAGAAGAGATATCCACACATTCACTGCACCCTTGTTAGGGGCAGCCAAGATACAAGAGCAATCCAGGTGTTTGTTGACATTAATTAATGCTATCCAGCATTTAAAAATAGGGAATCCTGTCATTTGCTATAGCATAGATGAACCTGGAAAATATGTGCTAAGTAAAATTGAAATCAGCCATACACAGAAATACTGCATGATCTCTCTAACATGGGGAATCTAAAAGAGATAAATTTATAGAAACAGAGAGTAGAATGTGAGCTCTTGGAGTTGGGGGTAGAGTGGGGGAAATTAGGGAGATTTTGCTCAGCATCTACCACTCAACACAGTGGCTTGTTAGTGAAGCCATCTTGCTCACTTGACATTTGATATGATATCAGGTTTTGGGTATCTGTACTCACACACCAATAGTGACTGTGGGCATGACAGGTGTGCAAGTTATTTGCCTGGCAATCCTTACATAATGTACACCGGTGTTACCTGTGATGCACTATCATGTAGCATCCCTCCCTCCTCCTCTTTTTTATTCCTTTCTTTATTTCTTCTTTTGAAATAGGATCTTGCAAGGTTGGTCTCAAATTCCTGAGTTCAAGTAGCCCTACTACCTCACCCCCAGAGTAGCTGGAACTGTAGGCATGTACATACCACACCACACCTAACATCTTTCATACAAATAATTTTTGTTAATTAAATGTTTTTAAAACCAAATAGATCAAGGGATCACTGAAAGATGTTGACAATTTGCTCAAGATAAGAAAGCAAGCTTGTTGCACGATTGGGGTCTCACTCTGGAATTCTCCGCCTCTTCATTAAGGAGACAATGCTTATTAGACTCTATTTTTTTCCAATGGCTCAATTGTCCCTACATTCTGTCATTCAACCACATTTACTTCTGGAGGTGGGGTGGGGTAACTAAGGGACTAAGAGCTCTTGTGACTTCCAAGATGGTGATGGATTTGATTCTGGTTTCTCTATGCACAAATGTGTGGACCAGTCATCTTCACTTATTCCCGTTTGGACAGGAGTCCCAGTTTCACATCTGATGCCTCGCCCAGCACAGGCTATCAGACACACTGTCTGCAATTGCAACGACCCCCTGCTGGGTCCATCAACTCAAATAAACATCCTCCTAATCAGGAAAGTGGCACTTAGAGCCTCTTTGCCGACAATTAGCCAGACAGAAGTCAACAAACATTTTCACACTAGTAACAAGATGGTTTGTGCTTTAAATTGATAATAACCCTGTCACCAATAGAATATAAGTAACTACTCACTATGTTATTTAGTCAACAAAAACAACAAATCATTTCCCATCTCTCGACTTTTGAATACTGACGAACTACCTGGGCCACTTATTAAGAGATTGCTGATTCAACATTCTTCCTCCTCTGGTGTGCTTACCCCTAATGAAAAAAGAGGTCTCAGTTCACATGTGAAATAAGCTGGTAGAAGACCTGGGATCACCAGCTCTGTGATTCTGATACTAGTAAAAGGAAAGTTCCCTACTGTAGTGGGATTTAATCTGATGTTTCTCCTTTAAATATCTACATAAAGTTTTTGTGAATTAATTGCCTATTTGGCTAATTTCTTGCAGGTGTTCTATCGAGAAGAATTAAATGTGACTAGGTAGCATGCTGGCATGGACAGAATGGCACTTGAAATGATAATTAGCATTCCTAGGGGATGATTTGAATCACATAGTGAGGACTGGAATTTTCTACGGAAGGACTCTATCTTTGATTCCGTAATGGAAGTCAACGGGATGATAATTTGCTATGCAAATCACAGATCTCCTTCCACGTAGGCTTCTGAGAAGCCTCCTGATGCTCACAGGCAGAGAAAGGAGAGGCTGTGCAAGCCAGCATTTCAGCCCTCATTGACCTTGATTGAGTTTGAAATGAGTGGATTTTAAAAATCCATTGAGACTGGTGTTAACTTGCAGCCATCAATAGTAGTCAGGAAGCGAACATAAGGAATTCTAGAGGAGAGGAAAAATGTAACTCTGCCCAGATCCTTTTTTTTTTTTTTTAATCAAATCCACATGGAAATTGGCTACTGTTATCAGTCTCGTGGGATAATTGGGTGAGCAGCCTACGCCTCCCCGGGTTTTCTACCTGCCTGTGTTTTGAGACACGTAGTTGTCGGGAAGGAACATGGGCAATGGTAGTTGCCCGAGACACACCTCAGACAGCAGAAAATCTGCAGTAGTTCTGTGTGCTGTTGAAAGCACCAGGGCAGCATTAAAGTATTTATAGCTATACCTGGCATTCTCAAATCAGGCTGTACAGCATAGAGTTAAGAGCTTGAAACTGATAACTGGGCGGAGTTGCATTAAACCAGGCTGTCATGAAAACTGGCCCCTGCTCTCTGGATTAGTTTGCTTTTCTGTTGCTGTGATAAACACCATGTTCAAAAGCAACTTGGGGAGGAAAGGTTTATTTGGCTTATAGGTCCCTGATCACAATCCATTGCTGAGGGAAATCAGGGCAGGAACTCTAGCAGAAGCAGAGTGGGGAAGCATGGAGGAAAACCACCTACTGGATTGTTTCCCATGGTTTGATCAGCCTGCTTTCGTATAGAACCCAGGACCCTGCCCAGGTGTGGTTACATCTACAGTGAGCTGGACCCTCTCCTATTAATCATTAATTAAGAAAATGCCTTACAGACACACCCACATGATGGAGACATTTCCTCAGTTAAGGTTCTCTTCTCTCCAGTGAGTCTAGTTGTGTCAAGTTGACACAAAACAAACCCAGCATGCTCTTCTTTCGTAATGTTTTTGGCTGAAAGAAGTCTTTAGAGTTTCTCCTTCGCAGACTGCAAGAAAACCCTGTCCACTGTGTGGTTCCCAGCAGAGAAGAGGGAAGAAGGCACACCTTCAGACCATGAAGACCCTGCCCAGAGCACTAACACCTCCTTTTCCTTCCATAAAACCACACTAAAACCTCACTAGATAGATTTGAGGCAGAGAATCTCCTCTGCATTCTTCAGAGCTGACTTTGAATAAACCTGTTTCCTTCTACTCACACTCTCTCTCTCTCTCTCTCTCTCTCTCTCTCTCTCTCTCTCTCTCTCTCTCTCTCTCTCTCTCTCTCCAGTAAACATTATCAACTGCAGATTCTGGTAACAAAAGAAAAAATAAAAACAGGACCTTTTTGAAAGCAGTTTGGACCAATGTGACCAGTCAAGATGTATGCTAACTGTCCTTTGCTGATTATGGCATTTCCATATCATTAGCCTTGCATAATGACATTTCCCACCATGTATCTGATGCTATGACACATCTGGACACTACATATAGGAACAGAAAAATAGACCCTATTCTGGGAAAACCCAGACTAACTCTATAAACTGTCCCTTTTATCCAGCTTAGTTTATGAATTATTTTCAATTTATTGGGCTTATCTGTAAGATGTGGCTCTATTCACGCCTTTTCCTGGAGTGTGCACTATTGCTTTGCAATTAAAACCATTTCCTAATTCCTTTGTCTCAAAGCTCAATCCCATCTCTGTGAGTGACAACATCTATGCACCTCTATCACTCTTGAGACCCACCCCCCCCCACGAACCTTCACTGGCAGCAACATTTTAACCTTACTGAAAAATTTAAAGTCTGCTGTCAACTCTGGTCAGACAAGCTTCTTTTTGCAATAGTCAGCAGTGACTGCAGAGACCCATAATTGGCCAAAGTGCGGAAAATAAATGGCTGTTGAGTACCCAGCTGTAAATGGGACATCTTTATTACCTCCTCCTCAAGGTTCAGGGAGCATCACAAAAGAATACAAGAGCTGAAGGCAATGGGGCAAGATTGTGGAATGCTGATTTCTGGGCATGGCATGGCTGCTGCCCTCTCAAACTCAGAGCAGCTATAGCCAGCTACACAAAAACCTACACAAGACTGGGTCTGTCAGTGTTCTGTCATGGGCCCATTCCTCTCTCGGGACGTATATGCAGTTATTGATTGATGGAGGAAGAAGAGACATTTTCTTTCGTGGTGTAGCCATTAGTAAGGACCCCCAAACTCCCACAATCAAACTCTCACCTTAGATTCCTATAAGCAACTCTAATGAAACTCATTGGATCACACATAGAGAAAGACATGAAAGTAGAAGGAAACTGGTTTGGAAGAGGAAGAGAGTGGCTGGAGTTGGAAGGGGACAAGAGAGGGAAATTGTGTGTGTAAATATGACTAAAACAAATTATGTATATGTCATGGTGAAACCCATTATTGTATATAATATTATGCTGATAAAAAATATCAAAAACTTTAAGTCATCATTTTCCTTAGGAACTATGAACTTCTTGGGATAAAGGAGATGGGTGGAGATAGAGAGTATAAAAGAGACTGTCCCTTCTGAAAAAAGATTGTTTGAACAACTATCTGGGCAAAAAGAAGCCTTCTAAAGAGGTAAGGAGAGCATGGAGAGATCCTGTACATGGTTACAATATAGTAATAGGAAAGGAGTGGCCAGAGGTATTGCTTAGTGAGTAAGGTGTCTGAGAACCAGAGCTCAGATCCCAGCATCCATGTCAAAAGCTAGGAGTGGCCTCATCTGTGCCTCCAACCTTAACACTGTGAGAGTAGAGATGGGAGGACTGTATCAGGTTCTGTGATAGACCCTATCTCAAGGGAATAAGGCAGAACGTAATAAGACAGGGCACTTGATGCCTTCCCAAGTCCTCAGTACGCTACACTCACGGGCACACCCATGTGCACACACCATATCCCCAGGAAACATTGAAGAAGGCAAGAATGATAGTTTTATATAATCAGTCTCACCCTTCCACTAACCTAAGGTAGAACAGTATCTAGAGAACATTTGGTTGGGGTAAGAGGAGAAGATAGGTCAAGCAATTTGCATTGGTCTATAAGACTGAATTGGTCACAGGAGAATTCAACAATAAACAGCCTCATAGCAACTGACAGCTAGGCTGGTGCCTGTGGATAAGCCTTCAGATCCACACTGCTGTGGGTGAGAGCCATAGCTCCAGTGAGAGGGACTCAAATTCTATCCTGTATCATTTCTGGCTGAAGACAGTAATCTTGGGCTCTGAATAACTAACTCTTAGTCGTAGGCCGAACTTAAAAGACAAGGCTTTAATTTTAGTTTGTAGTTGTGCTGGCTACAATGATCCTGGGCTTAGGACACCTCTCAGCAATGCAATAGCTACAGCAAGTCTGCCTAGATAGTCTAGATGGTTTATTGCTACAGGACATAACCAGACAGAGGTAGACTTCAAAGGCTGGACTAGCTGCTATGGTGGTTTGAACGACAATGGGTACATTGACTCATTTCTGAATATTTGGTCTCCAGTTGGTGGAACTATTTAGCAAGAATTAGGAGGTGTGGCCTTTTGGAGGAGGTGTGTCAATAAGGGGTGGATGGGATTTGGGGTTTCAAAGGTCCACACCATTTCCAGTTAGCTCTCTGTCTCTAAGTCATGTTTGTGGATCGGATGCAATCTGGTGTAGATTCTGATGCAGATAAAATTCCATTTCACCCCTACTACACCATCAAAGATATATTAGGTGTCTTATTGTTATCCTTTTTCCCCTCATAATTTTAGCCCTAGTTTCCTCAGGTCTCTTAGGAGACTCTGATAATTACATTCCAGCCAGCCTACTCAACACTCCTCCTCACATTAAATCTGAGTGGTATTTCCTATTTGCTCTATTCTTTGCTCTATCCCCACCTTACTAGGATTCATACTAGCTCTAGTCTTTTCAATTCTCATCCTAAATTTCCTCCTATCCCTCCATACCTCAAAACAATGTAGCCTTATATTCATCCAATCCCTATACTGAGACATAGTAGCTTATCTACTCATCCTCCCATGAATTGGTGGGTAGCCCATAGAATTCCCATTCATTATTATTTGTCAATTAGTCGCCATCATTTATTTTTCCATTATCCCAGTTTTAATGCCGATTTCCGGACTAATCAAAAATAAAATCTTAAAATGAATCTAACATCCCAGTTGTATACTAATTGCTTTAGTCTTGTAAACCAAAAATGAAGAATGAATCTTAAGACATCAAGGAAGTAGGTAACCAATCTGAGTCAACACCCAAAGCTGATATTCTCCTTAAACTACTCCTTGTTTAGTAGCTTTCAAGCTACTGTTCCAGGACCATGCCTGCCTGCCTACTGCCACAGTCTCGGCCATAATGGCCACGGACTCTAACCCTGTGCAACCATCAACCCTCAGGTTAAAAGCTTTCTTTGTAAGTTGCCTTGGTCATGGTGCTTTGTAGAAAAAAAAAAAAAAAAAAAAAAAAAAAAAAAAAAAAACCACCAAGTCTTCTACCTACTTCCTGAATTTGCAGACACAAAAACTTGATCATAAGGATCAAGAATAATGGGGGAAACAGTTTCCCCAAGCAGACAATGACTGGCTCTAATGTGACAGAGGGATGGAAGGTTTGGAATATACAAAATGCCATTTCAAGGAAGCTCATCAAACTGTGAGAAAATGAATATAAACAATTCAGAAACATCAGAAAAGCTAAGAGAATGAAAAATAAATGGAAATACAGGAGCAGAAAATTTCAAGGAACAAAATGGAAACTACAATGAAGAGCAGCAACAGCAGAACTGGTCGAGCAGAAAGATGAATGTGCAGACTTAAGACAAGTGTTTGGAAGCAAAATGTCCCAGAATAGGAAAGAAAAGGGATACCATGGAATGAAAAAGGCCTTCAGGACTTATGGGATAGCATTGAAAGAGCAAAGATATAGCTTTCATTTAAGATGGAGTAGAAAGAAACCAAGGTATAGGAATCCCACAAAAAGAAATATGGCCAAAGACAGGGCTCAGCGGGATGTCATTGACATGCAACCATAAGGAGTTAAGTTCAGATCTCCAGAACCCACATTTTTGCCTTTAATAAACTAAAGTGCTTTATTTATTCAATAGGAAATAATGGTATACAATGGTCACACTTAAGTAGACTCACACATGCCCAAATAAATAGCATCCCATTATAATATGAATAAAATAAAGACTAAAGACAATTGGGTATGTATAGCTGAAAAGCACAGGGTAAAGGTGGGGGGAAGCAGAGAAGTTGCAGCTGTGGCCTCTTCCTGCACAGCACTGGAGAGCCGGCTAACAGGAGCTTTGCTTACATACATTGGGATTCTCTCCACCCCACTCTTTCCCCAGTGCTGCGGATGGAATCCAAGGTCCAGCGAGCAGCATCCAGCACACCCAAGCCCCTCAGGTTGTATAACACTCTTCTCTGACCACACATTTTTTAGAAGCTAAGAGTAGTGTGCACCTGTAACACGAGTATGAAAAACCAAAATAACATGTCTCCCCATGGAACATCCAGCTTTGGACTCATCTATAAATTCGTCTTAGTTTTCTGAACCTTTGATTTTCTTCCGTTTATTTAGTTGTAACACCTGGTAATTGACATTTTCTAATGAATGAGTAGCAGATGTTTTGAAAGAGAGTCAGAAATTTGTGGTCTTTAAAGGAAGGATTAGGTTAAACTAAAAAAGCTTTGCTTCTGCTGCTGCGGAATGTAGGCCGCATGCTGTAGATGGTAACAGACAATGGAGAACTTCGGGACAGCTGCAGCTTCCTGGCATCAGGAAATAGATGAAGTATTAAGAAGTGATGTGCTTTTAATCCTAGTACTGGTGAGGCAGAGGCAGGCCGATCTCTGTGAGTTCGAGGCCAGCCTGGTCTACAGAGCAAGTTCCAGGATAGCCTCCAAAGCAATACAGAGAAACCCTGTCTGGAAAAAGAAGAAGGAGGAGGAGGAGGAAGAGGAAGAGGAGGTGAAGGAGGAGGAAGAAGAAGAAGAAGAAGAAGAAAAAGAAGAAGAAGAAGAAGAAGAAGAAGAAGAAGAAGAAGAAGAAGAAGAAGAAGAAGAAGAAGAAGAAGAAGAAGAGGGACCCCATAGGAAGAAGCCATGGCAGGATATTATGGGATTCTAGTCTCCTTTCTCTTGCCCAACATGAGATGAGCAGCTTCCCCTTGCCCATGCTCCCATCATGATGCTCTTCAGCTTGCTACATCCCAAACACAGCAGGGACAACTGACCATAGCCTAAGGTTTCCAAAGCAGTGAGCCAAGACAAATTTTCTGCTTCTTAAGGTGACCATTTCAGGCATTCTGTAACAAAAAGGTAGCTCACACAGGGTGACACATTTTGGAAAGTTCATGGATGCAATGCAGAGGAAGAAACGGGGACAGGTTAGGCTTGCTACATACAAGTGAATTGACACTGTGAAAAGAACAGCAACAATAGGTTGGTATGACTGACACCAATTGAGAATTCATAGTATTGAGATTTACCTGCTGTAGATCTGTTAGTAAGGCTCGCAAAAGCCTCCGAGTCATGCGGGCTCGGGAGACATCACCTCTCCTGTTGTTTTCCGCATAGAGCTGAAAAAAAGCTAGACATGTAAAAGGGGGGGGGAACTTTAGTTAAGTCCTTGTGTCCTTGAAGAGTATGTGCTGGGAGGCAAGTTTCTTCATGAGTATAGGAGAAATGTGGAGTTATATTCTTGTTGTTGGCTTGTTCCTATGAAGGCCTTCAAGTATAATCCATCAATAACTAATAACCCATACCCTGCCCTCTGTAATTCTAGACCTCAGTGGTGGAGGTTTGTGAATAAATGGTAAGGTGATGATCCCAATTAAATAGTGGTTTCTGGATAATCTCTGAAAGCATAAATGTCAAGAGCAGCCAAGCAATGCAAAACCGGAGAGCATAGATTTTTAAAGAAAATCCTGGGAACCTCATGACTGTAAGCATTTTTCTTAAATATAAACAAGATGAGGGCTAGTGAGATGGCTCAGCAGTTAAGAGCACTGACTGCTTTTCCAGAGAATCAAACCTGGGTTTGGTTCCCAGTATCCATAAGAAGGCCCATAACCATCTGTAACTCCAGTCCCTGGGGATCGGACTTCCCTTTGCTGGTCTCTACAGGCACTGAACTCCTGTGGTACACAGGCATGTTTACAGGCAACAATACCCTTAAAATGAAATTAAAAGCTCAAAAAACAACATAAAAGCAAACCCAGCCAGCCATGGTGAGTGCATGCTGAAGAGGAAGTCATTGTGATTCAGAAACCAGCAGAGAGGAGGACACACTGGAGGCTGGGGAGTCACCACACTTTAGAACACACTTAGCTTTTACGTTACCTCTGTACTTTGTAAGAGGGCTGTCTCCTGAGAGGGCAACCAGAGCAGCAGCCACAGGCCGAAGCTTGAGAACACCGGAACCTGTGCTGTGGGGTACAAATTACAGACAAGTGTGGAAAGGGCAGCGTTATTTAGATGAAGTGATTATTGGCTGTTCCTCCCTGCTTGTTCCTGTGAAGGCCTTCCAACCCAGGCCATCAATGGATATTTCATAAATGATACCATGCTGCTGGCTTCTCATGGTCTCTTCATATATTTAGAACTTGGCAGAGCAGGGCACTGAGTGAAAATGTTTTTCCTGTCCGTTCATTTATCCATCAATTCATTCAGTAACTATTTACTGGATGCTTTTCTATGATAAACACAGTGCCAGGGGCTGGGTGTGCAGATGTGGAGTGGAGCAGCCTTACCCTCTTAGAATCCCTCTGCCTGCATTCCACATAGCAAAGATGAGGATAAAAATAAAAAGCATAACTGGGTGGTGGTGGCATATGCCTTTAATCCCAGCACTCGGGGGTGGGGTGCATAGGCAAGAGGATCTCTGTGAGTTCGAGGCCAGCCTGGTCTACAGAGTGAATTCCAGGACAGCCAGGGCTATGCGGAGAAACTCTGTCTCAAATAAGTAAATAAGTAAATAAATAAATAAATAAATAAATAGTATGTTCCCCCCTCCAAAAACACTCATGGGCTTTAGCCCAGATCCTGACTGTGGTCTGCACATTAGCTGTGTAGCTTTCAGTGCTGGACAGACAATTTATCAAAGGTAGGAAGGCTGTTACAGACAAGCACACAATTGAAAACACACTCAAAGGCTTAAACACACTGAAATCACGACAAGATAACTCAAGAATATATTTACCTATTACTTGTGAAGTTGGAAAATAAGTTGCAAATTAAGAAAGAAACAACTATAAGGAATTTGCATATGATTGTGCTGTGCTTGTCTCCCAGAGTCATGTCCTCATCACCTCATTGTCTCTTCCTCCTCCTCTTCCTCAAACCAACCGAGAAAGGGCAGAGAAAATCCCCACCTTAGCAAAGCACACACTACACACACACACACACACATGTGCCCACACAGTATACACACACACACATGTGCCCACACAGTATACACACACACATGTACCCACACACTATACACATGTGTCCACACACTACACACACACGTGTGTCCACACACTATACTCACACACACACACATGCCCACACTACACACACATGTGTGTCCACACACTACACACACACATATGCCCACACAATATACACACACGTGTCCACATACTATGCACACACATGTGCTCACACACTATATACACACATGTGTCCACAAAGATTCACAAAGCCACCACCTCCAGAGCATCCTACCTTCTTAGAGGATGCAAACTGTTTGTTGTCTATGTATTGGATATCCAGTTCTATCCCAGTTAAAAACCCAACTAAGCCAAAATTTGAAGAAAATAAACAAGACAGGAAAAGAGATGAACAAAAATTATGCTACCAGGGAGTGAGGAACCAAGTATAGTCCATACACATCCTCCCAGATACCCTTCCAAAGGTGGGGACTCTGCTCTGGCATGGGAATGAGCTTGCAGAAAAGAAAGAGATCCCCTGCTTCTAGCTATCTATGAGTCATTTGTGTGACTGACACTTGGGAAGACTTCGTTTTTACTGACTGAGATAGTAAAGAGTCAGTTAGTTAGTGACAAATAATCAAGCCAGTAAGAAAACATCTGATGCACCCGATCTCAAGTGAACATTAGACAGAACCAAACAGCCAGTGGCCAGAGACCTTTTGGCAGCCTCCACATCCTCACCTGTCATACATGGCCATGAGAAGGCTCAGAGTGAGTTCGGGAGCTCTTGGATGCACTTGTGCTGGTTTTCCCATCCCAGTTCTCTGAAACAGCTCCTGGAGCTCCTGAAAAAGCTCATGTATAGAAAGGGAGATCTCCATGCTCTCCCTAAATCGTCCACGCAATAGAACTTGCTGAATCAAAGAGCTGTCCATCAAGTCCACTGCAAGAAGTGAATGAAAGATGGAGCCTTATTTTCTGATGAGCGTGAATGCTTTCAGACACAGCAAATATCTCCTGGTATTTAAGTGAGACTTTTTTTTTTTTTTTTAAGCAGTGGCCATTTTTTAAGGGAATTAACTATGCCAACTGTGGACACATCCTTTTTGTGTGTGATTTTGCCATAAATATTCTGGCAGTCAATGTGATTTTGGAAAATTGTGTGTCATTAAGGCATGGAAACACTATTTATTGCTAGGACAGTTGCTGGAGTACAGTTTTATAGACTGAAGTTAAAAAGAGGCAGAATCTTGGCTGTGGTTCTCTGCATCTGCTTCCATCAGGTACTGGTTGGAGGCTCTATGATGACAATTAGGGTAGTCACCAGTCTGATTACAGGGGAAGGTCAGTTCTGCCACTCCCTCTACTATTGCTAGGAGTCTCAGCTGGGGTCATCCTTGTGGGTTTCTGGATGTTTCCCTAGCACCAGGTTTCTCCTTAAATCCATATTGGCTCCCTCCATTAAGATCTCTATCATTACTCTTCCCCTCCGTCCCACCCCCAACTCGATCATCCTCCTCTCCCCCCTCTTTCCTCCCTCCCCTCTCCCTCTCTTCCTCCCCCACTTTACCCAGGACATCTCAGGAGGGATTATATGAGCAAAGGGGATCAAGACCATGATGGGGAAAGCCACAGAAACAGCTGACTTGAGTTTGTGGGAACTCATGAACTCTGGACGGACAGCTAGGGAGTCAGCTAGGCCCTCTGCATGTGGGTGACAATTGTGTAGCTCCATTTCTTGTGGGGCCCCTAGCAGTGGGACCAGGACCTGTCCTTAATGCATGAGCTGGCTTTTTGGAACCTATGGTGGGATGCCTTGTTCAGCCTTGATGCAAGGGGGAGGAGCTTGGTCCTGCCTCAACTTGCTATGTCATGCTTTGTTGATTCCCATGGGAGGCCTTACTTTATCTGAATGGGGACAGGAGTGGATGGGGGAGGGGTAGAAGGGATGTGGGGGAGGGAATGGGAGGAGAGAAGGGAAGGGAAACTATGGTTGGTATGTAAAATAAATTAAAAAAGACCCTGCCTCCCAGAAGATCAAAGAAAGATCAAAATAAATGATGTAATAGAAAAGAAGAAAAGGCAGAAACTTGAACAATATAACTCTAAGGAAGTTGAAACCCTGTGGTGATGAAGTGGGAGAGACATTTTTCACTGTGTCCTGGGAAGACTGAACATTGGCCTTTCCTATTTGAACACAGCTTTTCTGTCCCCTGCCTAGCTTCAGAGGATATAGTGCATTGGAATGTTGTGTACGCAATTGCCATCGTAAAAAAAAATAATAACCCCCAACAACATCCTAAAAGCAGTGGCTGAATTACCCTACTCTGGAGGTCTGGTCTTTGGCAACATCACTTTTAAAAAATCTTGGTTCCATCAATATTATTATCTAGAGACAGCACTTCATAAAACCAAGGCTACTCACAAAAACAGTGGTTTATTTCTCACAGGCACACATCTATATTGCTATCATGTAAAAAGTTTACAAGGCAAGGAATGGAGAGAAGAATGAAATTGAGCTAGCCCTCTAGCTTCTTGCCAACAGAGGGTGACAGACAGAATTAATAAACCCTCCCTGTACCTAGGAGGTGGGGATGTCAAGATCCCCAAGAGCTGCTAGCATTTAAAACGCTTGGGCCTGTGAAATAATAAAATGCTGTACCTCTCACTACTTCGTAAATCACCCTCACAGATAAAAGATCTACCAGGCATAATAAAACTTTTTATTTGTTTTCTGATATTGCTTTGAAGGGAAGAGTCTAAGGCAGAGGGGAGCAGGCTTAGGGAACAGGGTTTAAATACAACCAGGCCACGGTCTGTAAACTCTTTCATCATTGATCACAAGCCCCTATCTCTTGGGCCTGGCATTTGGAATGCTGAGGGTTCCTGTCTTTGGTGAGAGTTCTATATTATAGCCATGCAGATAGAGATGCTGTCCATTCCTCTCACAAGATTCAAATAGTGATAGTCCTGGATCCTCCTACTTGGAGCTCATGTGATACTTTATCTTGGTGTTTGGGATTTTTTTTTCAAAAATTCTGGCCCACTTTCCCTATTGCTGTCAGTAAACCAACATATGGGTGGGTTGCTGGCAATGGGCTATCTTGTCCCCCCAACCCCGGACCCTCTTGTATGTTATCAACTATTTAAATACACAGGTCCAGCCTTCCTGATCCATGCAGGTACATAAGTAGGACAAGTTTTGATTTTTTTCCCATGAATTGAACATTGCATATCATCAAGATCAGATTGTCTTGAGTGTCACCAAAAAGTTGTACTTACTTTGGCAAAGAGTTTGCATAGATCGTAATTTGAAGGCTGTTCTATAGACAGAATTCTCAATCCTATTAAGAGCACCTGCAGAGAAAACATGAAGTACGGCAGATTAATGTTTAGCTCATTGAATATATCCCACACCATGGGAGGGAATCGGAGAGCTCCTGTAGCCTTATTTTGTGTTTGAGACAATTAAGATAGACAGTATGCTATTCTACCTTTAAATGTCAATAAAAGACATGTGACAGTTTCATAGCATAGCTTTTTGTTGTCTCACGACAGATTTCTTGTCTGATAAGACTGGTGATCCGTCTTCACAGCTAGCAAAATTTAAGAGTGCAGATGATCTCCTCGTGTGTTCATTCCAGTAAGGCAGTTCAATAAAGCCTTATAAGGTCTTTAACATGAATTGTTCAATTTATTTTAGGCAGCTGAAATTGCCTGCTCAAGCTGGTCGTTGATGTTACAAGGCGGTGGTCCTCAGAATGTGGTCTCCAGCCCGGCCACATCGGTATCACCTGGGGCTTGTTACAGATGCACATCCTAACATGGCTGTAGCATGTTGTCAACACACTCCAGGCACAGGCACAGTAATGTGCACACGAACAAGGACGAGAAGTAGATGTGATATAAGCTTAAGTTTTGAAAGCTTCCTGTGCAAAATGAATTTATTGATTCTAGAACAATTGTCAAAGGCCCAGGGAGCTTGCAAATGACTTTTAGAAATATCGATAGACAATAAGCTCATCTAAAGACCTTGGTATCAGTTACCATGTCTTCCCTTCAGAGATATGAATATATGTGTAGATTAGGGTTCACAAATAGAAACAGAAAATAAAATTCAAATAGAAACAGAAAATAAAATTCAGTCTATTATTCTGTGCCAAGTCCAGTCAGTGAATATTGACTTAGTTGAAGACTCTCTTGTCAAGGAGACCCTACCTTGTTTGCATCAGCGTAGAAAATCAAATGGCTGTTCTAATGTCTTGTATTTTATTTTATTTACCTGCTTCAGATAGGTGGTATATTATAGCATGGATATAGGATAGTATTGCACTTTATCCTCCTATGTTTAGCGAGGATGTCAATATTGTTTAACATATTATCAAATTATTCATGATGTATTTTATCACAAGAAATTTACATTTGTGCTGTATCTCAATTCACAGTAGCCATATGTATGTCAAGTATTCAAAAGTGGTTAGAGACTGGCAGTTCAGCTTTAGAGAATGTTTGGGAGAGAAGTTACATGGGGTACTGATCAGGTCCCAATTGTTGGTTACGCATCTTGCATCAGGGCTGAGCGGAGCTAGAGATTCAGCCGTCGTCATTGCTCCATGTGAACAATATCGTGTGTATCACTTAGGCTGCCTGAGAGGAGTGTAGTTAGTGAATAGAAGGTAGGGCTAAGTAACAGCTGTGAGTATGAGGAACTGAAGAGGAATAGAAATCCAAAAAGAAACATAAGAAAGAAAGCCAAAGATAGTGGGGGAAACTGTAGCTGAAGGTCAAAGAAGGTGAAAGTAGGCAGAGTTTTCCTGCCCTGACCACCTGTTCCTAAATAACCGACACAGAGGCTTAATATTACTTATAAATGCTCGGCCGATAGCCCAGGCTTGTTACTAGCTAACTCTTACACTTAAGTTAACTCATATTTCCTATCTATGCTTTGCCATGTGGCTCATGGCTTGTTACCTCACTTTCTATACGTCCTGCTTGCTTTGCAGCTGACTGATGTCTCCAGACTCTCCTGACTCCGCCCTTCCTCCTCCCATCATTCTCTCTGTGTCAGGCTGTCTCATCCAATCTCTTCTTGCCCCGATATCAGCCAATCAGTAGGTGAACTTCAGAAAGCAGAGGCAAGCTATTGGTTTCATGCCCGCATGCCAAAGGACATCAGCTCTGTTTATGAGTTTAACTTGACTCTTGCAGTCTTTACAAAGGGCTGAGTGGAGAAGAAAGGTTGAGAATTCACCACAAAGCGTATGATTTTTATATGACTTTTAGAAGACCTCTTACCCAAAGGGAAGATGAGAAAGCCAGAATAAACAGCATACAATGTGAAGACTGAGTTGCAGGGGCAGGAGAGATTCTAGAATATATGCTCAGGCTAGGGAGGAGGAGCCAGAAGAGAGAGACTGGTTGTATTCTCAAAGAAGTGAAGGGACCAAGAATTTGTCATAGACAAATCCCTTTGGGGGAGCATATGCCCATGTGGCATACCTTCACTTTTCTTCTAATGAACTATTTCCCTTAATCTGAGTTCCTGAAACCGTACATGTATTAATGCCAACTGTCCTCTGTCCATTGGGAAATGAAGGCCAAGTTTACAACATATTAAGGTGTGTGCATATCAATGTAAGAGCACAATTTACCCCCTGAATCTTGGTTCAAGGACTCCATGTTCAAGGTATCAGGCCAACAGATGAGTTTTTCCTGCTGGATTTCAACTTGGAAATGTGGATCAGAGCAGAAATCACTCTCCTGTCAGGGTTTGCACATTGAGAAGGAAACCAACACAAAGAAAAAGAGCAGAGATGTGCTGGGTGCACTGCTGCCTGCTGATTGCTTCTGAGCATAGCACAGGCTGGTCTTTTTCACTTTAGCATCAAATAACAACCACAACCATATAGATTTATAGTGTCAAACTTTTCTCTCAGTGTAGGAGATGAAACATGGATGTGTTTTAGGCAAGCTACTCTACCACTGGGCTAACCCCTCCCCACAGTCCTACTTCGTATAATATGCTGTTTTAGAATATATACACATTGTAGATCAGTTACTCAGATCTAATCAATACACGCTTTACCTCACATGGTTATACCTTTTGGTGCTGGCAACAGTTAAGATCCAGTCCCTTAGCAATTGTCAAGAATGTAATGCATTGTCATCACATTATCATCTCATTATGGAACAGCTCTCACCGTGGAGTTATCAATAACACAGGGTAAAGCCTCTGAACAAAACTTTCTGTTGCATCTGAATACAGCTAACACTAGTGGAGAGAAGCTGCATGGGCGAGGGTGCACAACTGAAGGGATTGGTTTCACTGAGTGTCCCATCCTTCATTCCCCAAGAGGAAGACTAAATAAAAAGACACAATGATGGTATCTGTTCTTGTCTGAGAGCTAATGTTTTCTTTATGAATGGGGATGAGTTCACTTAGAAGATGGTAGGGTGTGCTGGTTTTTTCCCCCCATCAACTTGGCACAAGCAAGAGTCATCTGTAAAGAGGAAACCTCAACTGATAAAACGTCTATTAGACTGGCCTGCGCTCAAGTCTGTGGGGGCATTGTCTTGACTAGTGATTGACGTATGAGGGTTTAGCCCTCTAAGGATGGTGCCACCCCTGAGAAGGTGTTCCTCAGTTGTACAAAAAGGCCAGCCAAGCAAATGGGGTGCTCAGTAAGCCAGTACATGGCTTTCCTCCATGGCTTCTGCTACAGCTCTTGCCCTCAAACCCCATAGTGATTGACTTTAAGCTGTGACATGAAATAAACCCTTTCCTTTATCAAGTTTGCTTTTGATCATGGTGTTTATCACAACAATAAGAAGCAAGAAAACAAAGGGGGTATAAAAACTTCAGGAATAATGAAGTTAGGGTTAATTAGAACTATGAGCAAGAGAGGAAACAATTTATAAAATTTGGAAAGAGCTGTCCTCATGTTTTGTATTTTGAGCAACTTGTACATCGAATATTTTCTGTGATGACAAATTCCAGTGAAATAGTTTGTAACCATAATGTTCCTTCTGGAGCAAAACTCTAAGCTAAGCTCTGAGCTCAAAACTGACATATTAGTTATGTTAAGGAGGAGAAGTCTTGAAAACACAGCTAATTTCAAATTTAACATCCTGCATTCTAAGATGCAGGACATTGGGAATAAGTGGGCTACTGTGTGGGGGAAATTTTGTGGTTAGAAACACAGCTGGCCTTCCAGTTTTTCCTAAGTGAGCCCCCAAAAGGAATGAAATAAGGAGCAGTTCAGTGGATTTCACTGACTCAGCCATATGCAGCAGGAGAGTTATAGTATCATTCTTTGCTTTGTTTGTTGCTCAGGTAGCAATTGGAGAATTTAAATGGTGAAGAGGTAATATTTCCTCAGTCACTCCTGTGTGTGTTTCAAAGACCAAGCTCTTCTATTTCGTTAGGGGAGAGCTAAGGCTTCTTTGATTTTAAGGAGCAGCCATTAAATCCACTCTACTGAGGCCCTCGTGCAACAGCATTTAGCAAGCTTGCATCCTGGTGAGTGCAAAACCAAATGTAACACTGCCAAGAAATGAAAGAATAGAGAAAGATTTATTGCTGACAGCTAGTAAAGAGATCATGGGAATTCTTTTCAAGTAATGTTTTCCTTTAATAAAGAAACACCAACTTTTATTTGGGAAGGGCAGGATATCTCTGTCTATCTATACAGTTGAGGGGCAGCCACATTTTTGAACATGTTAAAACACATTTGTTTTAGAATTACCAGTCTAGAAACAAAGATGGCAGGAACATTTTTGGGCATGCTTAGCCCACGACATAGAGCACATTCTTGAAAGGCTAAAAATACAGACACTTCTGGACATGCTCATCTTGTGAAATAAAGATGACGGTCAGAACTGCCTCTAGGCATGCTCAAATGTCATCATGAAATTTTATTCCATGTTGCCAGAAGGTCCTGTGTAGACTGCTGGGGAAGAATTGTCATCAACAGTCTTATTCAGCTGCAAACCCTGTAAGCAACAATAGTGCCTGGCCAGGCAATATTAACCCACTGTACAATAGTGGCACAGCTTGATGGGTAACAATTGCTTTCTGATAGGATGCCTGCTTCCTGCTTCACAGGAAGAAATTCATAGATGCTACTGTGACTCCAGCTGACAATCCCATGTTTGGGGAGTTCAGCAAGGCACTGCTGAGCCAAGCCATCCATCTTTGCAAAGTTAGAGCATACCACAAGCCATACTCTGAATTTAACAGCTGGCTATCTATATTTGAAATTTACACATCTGCGATTCAATAGATGAGGGATCAAAAATAGCCATAAAATTGTCCCTATGCAGAACACAGACTTTTTCTTTAAGTTAATCCACAAATAATACATAAGAACTATTTCCATGGAATTTATATTTTAATAGGTATTATACATGATCTAGGGGTGATTTTCAGTATGGGTCAGTTATGCACATATATGGGCAAGTACCATGACATTTTATATGAGGAATTCAATCGTTCACAGATTTGGATCTTTAGGGACTTAGAATCAATTCTACATAAATACCAAAGGACTGCCAACTGTGTTTTGATCCAATAAGCAATACATGATCATGAGTCAAAGACCAGTATATAAGGTAGATATAGGGGTCTGCCTAAAGACTGTCATCCAAGCAAGAGACAGTACCCTATATTCCTAAATGTCTGGTCTTTCTCAATAAGCATTATACAAGCTTATTACAGAACCCACAGTTTGCTCTAATTCTTTTGGGGTTTAGTGTTTCCTTGTGCTTTAAATATGTTTACTTTTCAGACAACATTAGAGAGTGGGAGAAATCAGAAGCATCGTAGCCTCTTTCTGCAGAAGAACACACTGAAGTAGCCATAGAAGAGCAGAAATAATTTACAAAAGTGTGATATCTGGCACATTTTGTTCCTCTGGAAATCGGCGGGTTTCTGCGCTCTGCTTTCTCTCTGATGCATCAAGCGGATACAGAGAATCAGCAAACCCAGGGCCTTGCGGGTCCCCAGCTGCAGCTCCTACTGAAGGAGAGGCATGGAGCTGCACAGCCATCTGGCCCATCATTCCTGTCAAGTGATGCTTTGCAGCGTCATCTGATGAAGCTATGCAGCATAACGTGGCAAGCTGTGATACAATGTACCATGGAGAATGTGTGAGCATCCCAGGTGACCTGCTTCCAGCCCCACCTCCTCAGGCTCCATTATTACTTTTTGATGATAATGGGAGCAAACTCAAGAAAAGGGGGAATTGCTGTATGTCTCAAGCTTCAAGCTATGAACAAGCAGTTTTAGATGATTAAAGCTATAACAACACAAGCTGTCTATATTCTTGTCCATAGAAGCAATTTGAGAAACAATTTTGGCTTTAAACCATCCTTATTTTTTCTCAGTCACATTACTGTGTTTATTTTCCACAGATAAATTTCCACAAGTTGAATATGGTAATATTCTTTTCAATTTCCCATCATTAGTTTGATATCCAGTAATTCACACGCTAGGCTAGTGGTCATCAAAACATGGCCCAAGAAAGGCTCATTGGAGTTGGCTGGGAACTTGCCAACAGTTAACATTCCCAGAAACACCAAACTACAAACTTTGTAGACAGAACCAACATCTACCAAGCCACATGGATGCATTCTGAATTGAGAAACACTGCATTAGAGGTGAAAATTTGAACTGTAAATGGGTTATCATCTGCTTTGTTCATAGTATATTGTTAGGAGGGCTCAATTTTGAAAAGATCAAAGATAACTTGAAACATTTGCACTGTTGTTTTCAATAAATAATATGAGATTATAAAATTTTAAGCCAAAAACTAAAGTTTAGAGTCTAGATTTGCTAAGGAAATAAGGTTGCGAATAAATTCAAAACTAAGAAGGCCATTGACCACTCCAGGGCTTACCCTGTCATTTAGAGATGTGTGGAGCAGGGGAACTAGTCCCCCCATATCCATTTACCAAATATGTTCAAGATAGCTGGAGATCTAGCTCTCTCAATTTTGGGTCCACGTTGGACTATAAACTTAACTTGATAATAAAGCATGTACAGAGATGTTATTTTGGTGACAGGATACAAGTATTTGTGATTATATTTAAAATATAATCATATTGATGCTGTGTTTTTTGTTAAATTATTCTTGGCATTTTAGAGATGAAACATCAAATATTCTTCATGTTATGGATTTCTGCTTAAAAGCTAGATGATCATTTTAGTCATCCAATAAATTACTTTTCACCCCCAAATTTGCCTCTGTGACTCAGAAGTCTAAAACCACATCTGTGTCTAAATTTTTGTCCGCAGTCTATGTTGAAAAGTTTAACAGTACCGGCTCACCTTGCTTACAAGGGTCCATCTCATTGATTTCCTGGGATGATGGGACAGATGGCAAGACAGTCCTTGTAACTAGAAATGAAGCAATGTTTTCTGTGGAAGGTTTCACAGTGGAAGGATGATGGATGAGGGGCAGCCAACAGCTCATTCACCTGTGGAGCAGTGAACACAGCTGTTCAGGGAACCATCACATGCCGTGGGGGGAGGTAAAAACAAGGAACCCTGGGATAGAGATTCCTTTTGCAGAAAACTGGTAATAGTTTGATTAAGTTGATACTTAAAAATCTGAGACAATTTCATTTTAAAAGAGGACTGAATTACATTGGAAAAATTATTAAGTTTGCTTGAATGGTAAGGGCCAAGTATGAAGCCCTCAATTGTTTAAATTTCTTATAAAACAATACCAAATAATTCTAAACATACAACTTCTAACAAATACTATCCATGTATCTATATCTATATCTTTCTATATCTATCTATCAGTGTGTGTGTGTGTGTGTGTGTGTGTGTGTGTGTGTGTGTGTGTGTAGAATCCAGCTCATAGTTCAGTTTAGAAAAATCAGTGGATTAACTCCCTGGTTAATAGTTTTATGTAATTATTTAACATAATATAGTTAGTTATTATTTAAACTATACTGTTTCAACAAAAAGGATGTTATGCTTGGGCTAGAGTGATGGCTTGGCAGTTAAGAGCATTTGTTGCTCTCATAGAGGATGTGGGTTGGTTCCAAGCACCCACATGGTTGCTCACAGCCATCTGGAACTCCAATTCCAGGAGATCCAAAACGCTCTTCTGACCTCTGTGGGCACCAGGCATGCATGTGGTGCACATACTTACATATAGGTGACACACCCACACATATAATATAAAATGAACAAATCTAAAAAGAATTTTAAAAAAGAATGTTATGCTATAAGAAAGATTTGTACAATTCTAATAAAAAAGGCAGTGGTGGCATATGCCTTAAATCCCAGCATTCAGGAGGCACAGGCAGGCGGATCTCTATTGAGTTCAAGGTCGGCCTGTTCTACAGAGCAAGTTCCAGGACAGGCTTCAAAAGCTACAGAGAAACCCTGTCTCGAAAAACCAAAACCAAACAAACAAAAAGAGAGATATATTTGTTAACATGAGCATTTGAAGACTTTTAAAAGTTTAGATGATCATTAAGTTGAAATAATATTTTCCACACCTCCCATAAACGAATGAGCTAAAGTAAAAATCATTTGGCTGATAAATACAATTTTAAATAAAAAATACATCAAAGACTGATTCCATTTTTTCTTTAAAATATGATAGTAAGCTGAAGAATGTGGCTCAATTGGTATAGTAGTTGCTTAGCACGAATGAAGCCCTGGGTTTGATCCCAGACCATAGAAAGTGGGTATAGTAATGGAAGCATGGCCATAATTGGGATGTAGATTCAGGGATTAGAAGTTCACAGTCGTCTTTGGCTACACAGTGAGCCTAGTCTACGTGACATTCTGTCTCAAACTTTTAAAAAATGAAATGAAACACAAAATGGCAATAGTGGCAACCCGAGACTTGATAAGACCTAGGATGTTTTTCGCATATTTCAAATAGTGTCTTTTTGGAAAGATGTAGCAAGAGTTATTGTATAATATACTACAGTATAGTATAGCAGGGCTCCCACATATGTTCCTTGAAGCCCTAAGTGGTATGTATAGGCAGCCTCTCATCCAGTTTAAACAGCTGGAGATGCACAAGACCTTACCTTTCTTAGTTTCCTTCTCTTAGCTATGACCCCACCATTATGGACGTAGGGAAGGCTGTGGAATAGCAGATTCCCAGGTATGGCATTCTCACATGGGGTTGGTTTCTCCTTCTGACTGCCCACAGCTGTGGGCACAACAGTGGTAACTGAAGTTGCACTGTTTTTAAGAGCTCCAAGAAGTACATTCATTAGTAATAACGATCCTGAATAATTCAAGGTCACACATTCCTCTCTGTTTCAAAGGGTCATTTCTATATCAGCTTCAGGTAACAGGGAGGGAAGTAAAGTATCTTCCAGTGCTGTCGAGAGCATAGAGCTTGGGAAACAATAACGAAGACCCAAGCCCCAGGGGAAGGCACCCTGCAAACCACCCCCCAAAAAGAGTTACACAGGCATGGAATCAAAATCATTTTATTAATTCCTTGGTAAATGCAGAGGTATGCTTATACATTTTTTAAGGCATTGAATATAATACCAATCATCAGAAGGATGCTAATAATTTTAATGAATTCACATTTCCTCCTAAGTGGTAAATAGAACTTTATGTCTTATTTCTAAAGAAGTCCAGACCTAAAACTTTAAAAATCTTTAAAAAGTGTGATTATACAAACCAAATGTATTACAACTTTACAGTCGAACAGTTAGGGAATCAATCATCACTTATTGCAAAAACATCTGAGGCTGACCAGATGGCTCAGTGGGTAAATGTTCTTTGCACCAAGTCCCAGGAGCTGAATAATATTAGAACCCATGTGGAGGGAGGAGAAAACCAATTCCTACAAATTGTCCTGTTGTCTTCCATGCACACACATACATAATACACATAATACACACACCCCTACATAGACAGACAGACAGACAGACAGACAGACAGACACACACACACACATACACACACACACACACACACACACACACCAGGGGGGACAGAGGCAGAGGCAGAGACAGAGAGACACGGAGAGGAATAAATAAAACATAATTTCAAAATGAAACAAACAAAACACTTGAACCCAAAACACAGGCCTGTCTGTCCACGTGCAGTAGTCTAGCAGCTGGGAGCCAGGATACCTGAGAGTTCCTGCTCCACGATGACACGAGGGTGTGTAGCCTCTCTGGAATGTCCCATAGTCAAGAGCCGTTGGGAATGAGTATGAAACCAAGAATAAGCAGTTTCCCCTTTTGCTTTTGAAAAGCATTCACTGCTAGCCTATCCAATATAGAAACTTGAGATCTATGAAAAGATGGAAATTGGTAAACGATGGGGGCAAGAATGGTATCCAGTGGGGGTGGAAAAAAGTCGTTATTTGTCTGTGTCTATATAGGCCATATTGATTTCCTGTGAACAGGTAAGACAAAAATTCAGGAAGAAAGCAAATCTATTTTGCATTAAATCTCCATCTGCTTGAGTGCAGACTTGGAGGTGAAACCTTATTTAGTTTTGCACATTCTATCAAGCCACCATAGTTCCCGGTACCAGCAATCGAAAAATGTCTGAATGTTTTTTTCTAAATGCCACCATGCTCAGATTTGGACAGAGAGATCCCATGGACTGATTCTGTCAATAAAGAATCTCTACCCATAAAAAGAGTTCTCTAAAGTCCTAAATGAAACAAACCTAAATTAGATCATTTTTAAACACTAAGGATGATTAAGATATACCGAAAGTAATTTTGGCAAATTGACCATTGGAAGCCTTAAACTTGACCGGACTTCTGGACTCATTGACTTCTGTTTAGTGGAACTTTGTAGTTACTATTGCAAACCATGGCTCAAGCCCAAAGTCACATCGAAGCCTTCTCTTTAATCCCAGTCCCTTCTCTCCACTCCCCTCTTTTCCCTTCTCTTTTTGTAAGTGTTTTATGTTATGAATCAATCGAGTTGCCATTTTACATTGAAAGCTACTTGCAAGGTATCTTTGCTAATGTGGTAGTTTCTGAAAATGCTGGTTGGTAATTGGAGTCTCCGAGTCTGAAACAGCTTCAGCAAGCAAGCAGGTAGGATCCGCCAGGCTTCCTCTTCCTCCAGGACCTGCTCTGGGTTGGCCATAGGGATTCCAGGCCAGCCAGAAATTAACTAGGGGATGGCTCCTCATGGTAAACAGGTACTGATGGAGGCAAACAAATTGACATTGCTCACTCTCTGTTTAATACATAAATGTGAAGAATGTTAACTCGAGAGAGAGCAAATGGAGGCTTGATATGTTATAATTAAACCTTGGTAGGCAGTCCAATATGTAAATCAAGAATTCTATATGATTGTTTGTATATGCTAAAATGAGCTAAAAATATAATGTTCTGAGCCCACATGGTTGTGGGCTCCAAGTCTTTGCAGCTTTCAAAACAAAAGATTCTTATACTTATAATATATGAATATAATTAGAAGACATATCAGCTTATCAAATTCATTTTATGAAGTAGCAACAAAGTGCATAATGAAACAAAGGATTTATGATTCTCTCTTTTTTATTTAAATTAGAAACAACCTTCTTTTACATGTCCATCTCAGTTCCCACTCCCTCCCCTCCTCCCCTGCCCCCATTGACCCCCTGTCCTAACCCCTTTCTGCTCCCTAGAGAGGGGGAGGCCTTCCATGGGGGAATCTTCAAAGTCTGTCATATCATTTGGAGCAGGGCCTAGACCCTCCCCAGCGTGTCTAGGCTGAGAGAGTATCCCTCTATGTGGAGAGGGCTTCCAAAGTCCTTTTGTGTACTAGGAGTAAATACTGATCCACTCCCAGAGGCCCCATAGATCCAAACTGACCTCGTTCAGGGGGTCTGGCACAGTCTTATGCTGGTTTCCCAGCTATCAGTCTGGGGTCCATGAGCAACCCCTTGTTCAGGCCAGCTATATCTGTGGGTTTCTCCAGCCTGGTTTTGACCCTTTTGCTCATCACTCCTCCCTCTCTGCAACTGGATTCCAGAGTTCAGCTCAGTGTTTAGCTGTGGGTGTCTGTGTCTGCTTCCATCAACTACTGGATGAAGGCTTTAGGATGACATTTAATGTAGTCATCATTTTCATTATTGGAGAAGGGCATTTAAGGTAGCCTCTCGACTATTGCTTAGATTGTTAGTTGGGGGTCAATCTTGAAGATCTCTGGACATTTGCCTAGTGCCAGATTTCTCTTTAAACCTATAAAGGCTCCCTTCCCTCTACTATGGCATCTCCTTTCTTGCTCTCCTCTATTCTTCTCCTCGCTAGATCTTCCTGCTGTCTCATGTCCTTCTCTCCCCTCCCCTTTCTTCTAACTCCCCCTCCCTCTCCTTCCCCGCCCCCTCTGTCTCTCTCGCTCT